AACCCTAAACCGCAAACCCTAAACCCTAAACCCCAAACCCTAAACCCTCGACCCCAAACCCTAAACCCTAAACCCTAAACCCTAAACCCTACCCATCGATGCCCGTCTCTTCAGCCATCAGTTCCATCTTCCATAGGTCGCAAGGCGCTCTCGACCTTCTCGAGGATAAATCCTCGAGGTTTGACAACCTCGTCATCGTCCCTACCCATGAGGCTACTCTAGGCTTCTATAATAGAGCCCCATTTCATTAAAGGTACTACCCATAGGCTCGATTGTAGTTCGTTTTTGGGACAACCTTATAGGATTCAAAATATAAGCCACAAAAAACAGGAACTACAATGGAGCCTATGGGTATAGGGTTCTATCAAAACCCTAAACCCTAGACCATTTATGTATGGCTATGGGATTCTTCATTGCAGCAAAGGTCTGGCCTTCCATCCGAGGATGAAGGAGGCCAAAAAGATCCACTCCGTCAACTTCTCCAGGTGGTTTAGGGGGTTTAGGGTTTAGGGTTGATTGGGATTCAGGGTTTAGGGTGTATAGGGTTTAGGGTTCAGGGCTTAGTACCGATCGGGATTCTGGAACGAGGTAGCCTTTCACACGAATCACGCAGTGAACATGTCCAACTGCCCACCATCACCGGCTTGGGCAATTGGAAACAGTGCCCACGGAGACCAACCCTAAACCCTAAACCCTAAACCCTAAACCCTAAACCCTAAAGCATTGCTCTGGGAGTTAAGATCGGGTCTGCAGATTGCACTGCCTTTGGTTTCGGGCTCGTACCATGAAGAGGAATAAATGCAGTCGCCAACCCCCCCCCCCCTTTTGAGGATCTACTACTCGGAGACCGGTAGAAGCCCAGCTAATGTCGGGGCCTTAATAAGCACCTATTACTATTTTGGGGGTTCCTTATTATAACTACCTTAAGAACCCAAAACCCATTTTTTGTAGGTTCTTATTATAAACCCTAATATGGGATTTATAGGGACCCCGCAAAAAAGTAGGTTTTGGGTTCTTAAGGTACACTCTACATGTTCAAGTCCAGTTTTTTAAAACCCTACACCTCAATCTACTTCAGGCTACGCAAATACCAACATTTCGGCTTCGAGGATGGAGGTGCGCTTGGCACCTGGGTTTACGGATTAGCGCGGTATGGAGGTTTAGGATCCATTAGACCTATTCATTAGGCACTCGAGTTTAGCATACTATAATAATTTCTGGGTTAGTGTTCATGAAAGCGTACGATCATGTATGATCATTCAGCACCTGGACCCTCACGGAATAGGGTTTCGAATTAGGGATTTAGGGTGGGCCTTCGCATCATCATCATGATCCTCATCCTCATCCTCATCCTCATCCTCATCCTCATCCTCATCCTCATCCTCATCATCATCGCCATTTTAGTCATAATGGTGGTAATCACAAGAATGGATTCCTTTAAGGGCTTCGTTTACATGAGCCTATAATAAGCGTTTCATGTTTCCTTTAAGAACCCAAAACTTACTTTTTTGTAGGGTCCTATAAATCCAAAATTAAGGTTTATAATAAGAACCTACAGAAATGTGGGTTTTGGGTTCTTAAGGTCAGGGTCTTAAAGAGTTGATGGCTCAGGGCCTGGATGAACCATCGCCGGTCTCCACGCCGTCGTCATTGTCCAAGCTGGGGTGGGCAATACAAGGTTTGGGTTTGGAGCGGGGAAGGTACCCAAAGCCGCTTGCAATCTCAGTATCAGACTCTCTAGTTTAGGGTTTAGGGTTTAAAGTTTAGGGACGATATCATTAAATTTATCGCTGTTCTTTGCTGCCAATGACTTCTTCCTCCAATCGGTGCATCCTAGAACGTCTGCAGGTCACCAAAACTGCAACACATCTTAAAGACCTTGCTGCTGATGACGTAGGCCCTGCATAACATGATCCACATAGTTTAGGCTGTCTAAGGCAATGCCTGGTTTTGTCCGCCAACAACCCTAAACCCTAAACCTTGAACCCTGAACCCTAAACCCTAAACCCTGAACCCTGAACCCTAAACCCTAAACCCTGAACCCTAAACCCTAAACCCTGATCCCTAAACCATAAACCCGAAACTCTAAACTAAACCCTAAACTCTAAACCCTAAGCTGACAGTAGGCCTGAACCAGTGGACTGAGGACTTCACCAAGAGGCCTGATACTGGGATTCCTACTGTTGATGATAGAAATCCTGCATTTACCCCTTCAGGACCCTATACTATGGGAACTAAGGTATATTCCTTATTATGGGTGCCGGATTTATATCATCAACCGTAAGTATCCAGACCCGTTGTTTCTTAAAGGAACCGCGGGAAGGCTTTAGAGGTTTAGGGCTTGGGGTCTTCCATCTAGTGTATGGGCCTTAGTAAATAGAATAGGGTCTTGGGGGGGGGGGCTCCTTATTATAATTACAGTAGAATATACCCCAACCCCTATTCTGATTATTAAGGCCCCTGTAGTAACTCCTAAACTTTAATACCATGAACTGCGTGCAGTCTATCAAGGTGCACTCCTCTGCATCCGAAGACCGGCTGGCCTTATAACACCAGCCGTTTCAAGTGGTTTGCTAGGAACTTAAGTTCAGCAACAATATTTAAGTATCTATCTATCTCTCTAGCCATCTATCTATCTGTCTGTCGATCTATCTATCTATCTATCTGTCGATCTATCTATCTATCCATAGATCTATCCATTCAAAGAGAAGCCTTCGCTACCATGGCACCGAAAAAGCATGTTCCCAAACAGGAGCACAGTGCGGGGTCTTCAAGGGTTTGCGCTACGAGCTGCTTGGGCTCCTACATGAAACCTCAACCCTAAACCCTAAACCCTAAACCACTAAACCCTAAACCCTCAACGCGCAACCCTAAACCCTCAACCCTAAACCCCTAAACCCTAAACCCCTAAACCCTAAACCCCTAAACCCTAAACCCCTAACCCCTAAACCCTAAACTCTCAACACTAAGGCACAGGCCTTGATGGTCGGGCTTCTCGTTTCCCTCTTCGGGCTTCACTTAGGGTTCAAGATGGTTCAAGCTTCAGAGGGGGGCTTCTATTTCAGAGTGGAGTGCCCTAAACCCTAAACCCTGCATCCTAAACCCTAGAGACCCTAAATCCTAAACCCCAAACCCTGAATCCTAAACCTTAAACCCTAAACCCTGAATCTTAAACGCTGAACCTTAAACTCTAAACCCCTATAGCCTGAATCTTAGAGGGTTCAGGGTTGAGGTCTTCGGGATCCCAAAAACACAGCTCTTTGCCTGTCGTCGTCTTCATCACCACCTGCTTCTGGGGTTTAGGGTTTAGGGTTTAGGGTTTAGGGTTTGGGGTTTAGGGTTTAGGGTTTAGGGTTGGATTCCAGGAACATTCGATTCTACAGCCCTACAATCTCTGAGCTTTAAAGGCTTTACGGTATATATTCTAGGTTTAGCGGCTTTAGCGTTTAGGGTTTAGAGTTTAGGGTTTAGGGTTCACCACGACGAAGACGATTACTGCTACGGCAGCATGTATAGCTCCATTGCCCCTCTGATCTGGACCGTTCATTTCTCAACGTGTGTACTATGATTGTTTGCAAAAGACATCATATGCCCCCGACTTCCAAACCTCCAACTCCCAAACCGCTATCCGTTGGATATGGCATTTGTGTTTGTTTGGCGCACTGTAACAGCTCAGCCCAAGCCTGTTCAAACCCACTCATTTTCTCAAAGCCGCGGCAGCCACGGTACAACCACAACATCTCGGCAGACACCCGAAAACCCCAAACCCTCAACGACGTACTTAAACCCTAGAAGCACCCTAAGCTCCCCTAAGCCCCTAAAGCCGTATTCCCGGAACCCTTAGCCCTGAATGAGGAAGCGCGGTGTGGAACTCTTTCAGAACGCTTTGACGGGAACCCTGAACCCTACAAAGACTACCCTAAACCCTAAACCCTAAACCCCTAAACCCTAAACCCTAAACCCTAAACCCTACCCTACAAAAACCCGGGTGGTCCGACCTTCCTCTCGGTACCTCTCCACCTGTCTGGCCGCGAAGACATCGATTCCGCGAAGGTCCTCCCGGAACGAGGCATAGGATCCCAAGTTAGGGTTTAGGGTTTAGGGTTTAGGGTTTAGGGTTTAGGGTTTAGGGTTTAGCATGTCCTTTTGGGATCCCAAGTAATGCTTAGGGTGTAGGGTTTAGGGTTTAGGGTTTAGGGTTT